TCATGTATCTTTACTTAAACCAACGTGTTCAAAAACCTTTTTCCACTATAGCCCCCTGTCTGGTTATTTATGTCATGGCATAATTATGTATTTACTGAAATCTGATTATATATCCAATTACATTCACTAATTCAATGTTTATTAATTTAATCATATTTTATATCAAATGAAATGTGCTCTGTGTAACATTTCTGATGGAAGGTCTGCTACCTGCTCTTCACTGAGGTATAGTGCTTCACTGGGAATATTCCACAGTTTAGCTTTAAATGTAGTTAATATGATTAACTGAGATTCAGGAGCAGGACCACGCCTCGACGGCCCTCTCCTCTCACCAGCGAACAACAACTCACCTCGACCACGCCTCTAATTTCCCAGAAGTCTATATGTAGCAGCCTTTCCCATCATCCCTGTTTGTCTTGGCGAACTCGACCCCACCCTCCCATCCCCTATTTTGTCTTTCACTGGGTCTGGGTTGAGCCCTCACCCATAGTCTCAACCCAGCCATCTCTGCCCCGCTTCGTACACTATCAATAAACTTCTTCGCACTATGTCGTTGTTGGCGTGGTCCTAGCTAGTGAATTTAAACTTGACTACCTCCATGGATACAAACAAATGATGACACCAGGCCAAGTTACAGGTCAGATTAGTGGAGAAGCAAGCATGGGTGGTGGGTCCACGGGAGGACAGCCCCATGTCGCTGCTTCAGGCTGAGCCCGGCCAGGCCCATGGGGGAAGGCCCAGCCACCAGGTGCTTGATGGCTCCAGGGTGGGGTCCCAGTACTGCCAATCCAGGAGACGCCTATGAATATCCTGCGTCATATGGGGCTCAACGAGAGGAGCCAGTTGAGGTGGCCTGGGCATCAGGGCCTCCTGGGCACTTCCCTCAGGAGGTGTTCCAGGCCTGTCCCACTGCAAGGAGGCCCTGGGGAAAACACAGGACACGCTGGAGGGACTATGTGTCTCGGCTGGCCTGGGAACTGGACAAAGTGTCTGGGGTGAAGGAAGTCTGGAAGTCCCTGCTTAGACTGCTGCTCCCGCGACCCGGCCCTGGATAAGTGAAAGGAAATGGATGGAAGGGTTTATAAGGTATTATTTATCAATAAAAACACCTGTAATTGGATAAATGCATGATAGATACTTTAAATGCCATATGTGGAATATTACAGCTAAATCAATAATAGACAAGCAGGTGGTGGGTCTGAAAAGCTACACAGTACACCTTTAACTTCTCAATTTTTTTTCCATTACCATTTATCTAACATACTCTGATTGGGTTTGGCTCTACATGGACGCACAGACTCCATTAACTCAAACCCACAGAGGCTTGGCGGGATAAAATAGAATATAGAGGCAAATGGAATAATCCACACTGATGTTGTTGGCATATGTAATCGTAATTTTAGGGAAATATACAACTAAACATAAAGTCACTCTGCTGCATTATTTCATATTAAATTTGTGCAGATTTGCTGGCAGAGAATAATCGAAATACACTGTATGCTTTCCAAAGTGGTATTCCCCTTTAGTAACCCGAAATCAAAATAAATCCATCCTAAAATGCATAATATGTTTAGCAGATACTTAACAATCCCTGTAAGCCCATACGATCATTATAGTGCGGCATACATTTGGTATTGTGTCTGACCGCACCCTGTTGGCACCAAGGCCCAAACTCAAAATAGTGCAGAGACTCATGGAGCATTATCTGTGATCCACAGCAGGACTCTGACTTTTGAACTTTGGCTCAAAGTGAGGAGGGGGGTTGGTCATTTTAAGACATCGACAGGGCAGATATTTGCTCTTTTGAGTGTATTGGATATCAGTCTTTTCAAGCACAGGCTCATATTTGGTTTTGCCCAACCAACTTGCAACTTGCAACTTTATTTATAAAGCACTTTAAAAACAACGCAGGTTGACCAAAGTGCTACAGAACATAATTAAATATGAAACAATAAAAATAATACAACAACATTTGAATAAAACCAGGATCTAATAAAAACTACTGTACTTTTTGGACTATAAATGGCTCCGGACTATAAGCTGCACCAGCCAAAAAATGTGTAATGAAGAAGAAAAAAAACATACACAAGTTGCATCGGACTATAGGTTACACTTTTTGGGTGGCAATTTATGTTATAAAATCAGAGACCGGGAACCAACAGTTCATCTTGAAAAGCAAGTTATAGTAATAACAATAGAACAGAGAACAACAGGCTTTTAACGTCACATATGAACAGTTAATCAGAAAACTATAGCATAAACAACAATACAGAACAAGTTTACCAAACTCTCCATCTCACAACAAATCACTAAATCCATTCAATTCTTCATCCTCGGTGTCACTTCTGAGCAACTCTGCGACCTCCACAGGTAAACAGAGCACCGCTTCCTCTTCTGTGTAGCTCCCGTTAGACTCAGCATCAGTTCCAGTTAGAATTATTCTGGCCTTTCTGAATTCCGACAGGATAGTTTTGGTTGTCTTTATGTTTGTTTAAATTTTAAATTGTCAGTGATACAGAAGCAATGATGCGATTGACTGACATGATCCCAGACAGGACAGTGGCTCTTTCCCTTTCTTCTACAGCCGACATGTGCAGCAGAATACAAAGTGACAGTTGTACAGGAGTAACAGTAGTAGCAGATACTGACACACAAGTCTAGAGCCTCTCACAGCTTCAGTGTGAAATTTTAACAAATAAGTCGCAGGACCACCCAAACCATGAAAAAAGTGTGACTTATAATCCAAAAAATACAGTAATAACAACTGCCTGAAGAGTGCGTTTTATGTTCTGTTCGTAAGCAATTTTCACAAGTTTCTGAGGCTAGAGAGGAGTTTTGTCATCCTAGTAAATCTAACAATAACTATCATGCTAACAGTGCACTTCTTAATGCTTCATAACTAAATGCAGACATCACACAGTGGTCTCATTTTGACTTTAAGAGCCGTTCTAAATATATGTACAGGGGGAAGACAAATGTGACTCAACTACAAGGACAAAAAATGGAGAAAGCCACTTAATAATAATAATAACTAGAGATGAAATGTTACAAAAATCCAGTGTTTTTAATCAGCACTGGCGCTATGCTACGTACAGTGTCCACCAAGACTAACTGTGTGTGACAGTGCCAGAGGAGTGTGTAAGACCAAAGAGAAGCATGTCTAATGTGGGAGAGAAACACAAATTCAAAATGGCTGCCGTCCAGCGTCACTGCTCTTTTTGCCGCGAATTAGGCTGTCAATGTGTCCCTAATTTTCAAGGACAACTTCTAAATCCAGGGAGAATTTGGGGTTTCGTAATTGTTTTTGCAGAAGAAAAATGATTGGTTGAGAGAGTTAGGTCAGGCTGTTCTGAGCAGAGCTGTCTCCATTGTGGCTAATGACCCATAATAATAATATTTGGGATGACATATACTTTGGCAAAATGTGCTAGTTTAAACAGACTTGGGCACTGCCGGCACAAGGACCACATGACGGTTTTGAATGTCCATGTCAGGTCAGGATTACATCAGCTACAAAACTTTTAGGTACAACTTCAAGTCTGTTTGTCTTTGTGGCTTCATAACGTGCGCTTTATTGATTTATTGTGAAAAATCAATAGAAATGTTATTAAAAAAAAACATTAAAAAACAGATATTGTCATGGCTCTGTCTGTAAGGTTCCACAGTTTGGTATTGAACTTACTTATCTTCATGGAGACAAGCAGGAGACAACAGCTGCATGTCAGATCTGTGGAAAAGCAAGCCCCCTCACAGTAATAAAGTACCCAAGTAGATCAATAATGTCATAATGTGAGTTGGGACATTCCAGGCAGAGAAATAACATCTCAACAAGGACAAGAAGCTTTAATTTAGGCTATGTTCAGACTGCAGCCTTAAGTGACCCAAATCGGATTTTTTCACCTGTATGCGACCTGTATCTGATCTTTTAATGACGCTGAATGACACAGATCAGATTTTTTCAAATGCAACCCAGACCACTTGGATATGTGCACCTAAAATCGATACATATCTGATCTTTTGACATGCAACTTCAGTCTGAACGGTCAGGTCACCTTCATCCCACCTACACGTCAGGCTCGGAGTCTAGTCAAAGGTTAGAGAGTTAATTAATATTTGGGGGGATCGCTGTATTCAGGACAAATTGCAGGGGTCTTATCAGAACTGGGTAGTTTTTGAAATGATTGCCAAAGAAATGGGCAAGTGCTTCTACAGTCGGTCCTGGCTCCAGTGTCAATGAAAAATAAAGAGCCTGTGAACCAAATACAAGGAGGCTTAAAAACTCAAACAAATGAAGTGGCCATGGACATGTAACCTATTTTTTGGAAAACAAACCCAGCGTTTAGGCAACTTCCATAAACACTGAGCATGCTCGCTGTATGTGAGGCCGTCGTGTCCTCTAATGTGCTTGAATGAATGAATGAATCAATGTTTATTCGGGCAGTAATACATAGAACATACATAGAAAACATAAATACATAGATATAACACAAAAAGTAAATATTTCTATTCTATAATAATAGGCAAAAATAAATGTTACACACATTTTGCTTGTGTCCGAAAAAGGAGTGGGAGGAAGTAAATACTTAATTAACCCCATCCCTTTTCTACCATCCCGAAATTAACAAGAGACACTTTTGGGGCATTTAAAGTTCACACTGGAGATCACATACAAATTTAATTACAAATGTGAACAACATCGCAAAATAAAAAAATCTGATTTCACAAAAAATCCAAATTGAGCATTAAACTCTTGCACATTTCTGAAGATTGACTCTGACAGGCTTAATTTCAAGTTTAGAATTGTTGATATGAGGAAAGAGAATGAGACACTATGTACTAAATTGTCAACCAACATGAACTATTTTTATCATAGATTCCTGCAATGATTAGCAGCTGAAATGATTGAATAAACTGTAATGTGTGAACAACTCTCCCATGTCCCGCTGGAAACCTTTTTTGCGTGTGTATAAATTACGTGCAAAAATAAAACCACGCCGGAGTCTGTGTAGGGAATATATTTATTATTTGGTTTACTCAAAATAACAGTGTCAATATTTAAAGAAAAGCAAAGAACTCTATAAATATATCAAAGAAAAATGCGATGTTTTTCCTTCACTGCAGCCAATAAACCATCTTATTTTATACATTCAAAAGATCAGGAAAGAGCCCGAGTCCAATTCATTTTAAGACAATTACACAACAAGCTTTTCAGCATTAAGAGTCATTATAAGGTAAAGTTGGTGACAGAATTAAACACAGTGACAGTAGAGAATTAATTAAAACAATCGGATACATTTAGATAAAACAACATTATCCAGAGGCATCTCAAATAAAGAGAATATTGTGGAAAAAGTTACTACATTTTAACTATTAACTCACTTAATTTACTTTTTCAAATGTTCAGGTTGACAGTGACTCACTGTTTACGCATGAATGTGGTGGGGGAGTGTATTATTAGTTGTGGACTAAAAATGTTTTGAAAATGTTTTATTCGGCAAAAAAAACTTATTAAAATGTGCAATAAGTTTCTGTCTTATTTTTGGCTCGCCTTGCTCCCTCTGCTAAATCACTCTCCCTTCAGAACACATTCACAATACTATCAGAGTGCATCCTGATGTTGAAACTACTCCACATCGCATTAGGTTTGTGAAGTTGTATTGTAGGGTTAAGGACAGAGGGCTGCATTTGATATTAGATTTTCCACAATATTCCAATATATTGATGAGCCTCTATTGAAATTTGTGAGATAAAATATAACAATGTGTGTTCTATGGCAGTGGTCCCCAACCTTTTGAGAGCCATGGACCGGTTTTATGTTCAACAATATTTCGCGGACCAGGGACTGTGGTGGCGAGGCATGGTTTAATCCTGGGTTAGTCCTGGTTAAATCCTGTTTTAGTCCTGGTTTTATTCCTGTTTTATACCTGGTTTAGACCTGGTTTTAGACACGGTTTAGTCCTGGTTTTAAGACCTGGTTTTAGACACGGTCCTAAACCAAGTCTAAACCAGGACTAATTTTGGACTTGAGAGAGAGAGAACCCCGAGCCTGTGGAGCATTGTGTCCGTAAAGCACGATCAGGCGGCGGCTGCGCTTAACTCCGTGCGGCGCAGAGCAGCTGTTTTAGTCCTGTTTTAGACCTGGTTTAGTCCTGGTTTTAGTCTTGGTTTAGACCTGCTTTAGACCTGGTTTTAGACCTGCTTTAGTCCTGGTTTTAGACCTGCTTTAGTCCTGGTTTTAGACCTGCTATAGTCCTGGTTTTAGACCTGCTTTAGTCCTGGTTTTAGACCTGCTTTAGTCCTGGTTTTAGTTTTGTTTTAATCCTGGTTTAGTCCTGGTTTAGACCTGCTTTAGTCCTGGTTTTAGTTTTGTTTTAGTCCTGTTTTAGACCTGGTTTAGTCCTGGTTTTAATCTTGGTTTAGACCTGCTTTAGACCTGGTTTTAGACCTGCTTTAGTCCTGGTTTTAGTTTTGTTTTAGTCCTGGTTTAGTCCTGGTTTTAGTTTTGTTTTAGTCCTGGTTTAGTGCTGGTTTTAGTCCTGGTTTTAGACCTGCTTTAGTCCTGGTTTTAGTTTTGGTTTAGTCCTGGTTTAGTCCTGGTTTTAGACCTGCTTTAGTCCTGGTTTTAGTTTTGGTTTAGTCCTGGTTTAGTGCTGGTTTAGACCTGGTTAAATCCTGTTTTAGGCTTGCTTTAGTCCTGGTTTAGACCTGGTTTAGACCTGGTTTAGTCCTGGTTTAGTCCTGGTTTAGTCTTCGTTTTAGTTCTGGTTTTAGACCTGGTTTAATCCTGGTTTTAGACTTGGTTTAGCTCTGGTTTTAGACTTGGTTTAGCTCTGGTTTTAGACTTGGTTTAGTTTTGGTTTTAGACTTGGTTTAGTTCTGGTTTTAGACTTGGTTTAGTTCTGGTTTAGAGATGCGTATGGGTGGGGGAGGGGGATTGCGCTTTTGCAGCCTGGTATCAAAGGACCCACAGCCTGGTACCGGTCTGCGGCCCGGGGGTTGGGGACCCCTGTTCTGTGGTACCTGCATCGCGTGATTTTAAGTTATAGTGTAATTTAGAGAGTAACTAATCTGTATTTAAGGAAGCAGCAGAAAGCACTTTAACACAGAGGGACAGACAGACACATAGAGCACAGACAGACGGTAGGGGGCGCTGTTCAGGGTCTGAACAGCAGGATGCGTTGGGCACAGTCCTGTCCCACCAGCGAGGCGTACTGCTTCACCTCCGCCTCGTCGCTGGAGCCTTTTCGTTTGCGACAGTAAACGCCGTACGGCATCGCGGTGCGTTTGTACAGGACCAGAGCTCGGTCCACTTCCTTCAGCATACGGGCGTCTTCTACGGGGACAGGAAGAGAAAAAGGGAAATTATAATGTGGAAAATAAGAAAATTAAGGAGAACAATCAGTAAAATCTATAAAATAAGCCTCCAACTGAAAAGATTATGTCAAAAGATATTTTGAGTTCAATGTACACCGTTTCTTGTCTCCATGAAGAGGTAATTGCTTTGCCTGGAATGTTCCACAGTATGGCATATTAAATTTATCAGGTCAGATCTGTGGATGGGGGACTTCACTCACAGTAAGAATACATGTTTTTCAAGATATTTTAGCCAGTGGTGTAGTGGGGATTTTTTAAGTAAGGGGTACACGATTTGTGACTGAACGAGGAGGACTAAACCACGGCTAAACCAGGACTACACCAGGTCTAAACCAACTCTAAATCAGGAATAAACCAGTACTAATCTTGGACTTGAGCAAGAGATAAAGAACCCCGAGCCCGTGGAGCATTGTGTCTGTAAAGCACGATCGGGTGACGGCTGCGCTTAACTCCGTGCGGTGTGGAGCAGTGGTTTTTGTCCTGCTTTAGACCTGCTTTAGTTCTGGTTTAGACCTGGTTTAGTCCTGGTTTAGACCTGGTTTAGTCCTGATTTAGACCTGTTTTAGTCCTGTTTTACACCACTACACCCCCTGATTTCAGCAAAAAAATATGAGTGCCATAATGCTGAATTTTCCAAGTAAAGCAATAACATCTCCATGGAAACAAGCAGGGCACTTATTCCACACAACAAGAAAAGTTACACAGTGCTGTTTTAACTAGAACTGTTATTTGTTTGTGATGAACTCTAGTGTTGTTCTGCACTATATGGTCAAGACAGGGGATATGTCACAGGACAGATTTAAAGGCTTTGTGCCACACTCAACGTCATTTCCCGTACCTTTTGTTTTTTTACCTTTTCAAAATAAAATACAAACATTTTGCAACTTCACATTTTTTTTTGGTAAAACCTCTGAATGTGGCCATGAAAACCCATTATTCCAAGAAATCACTGGAGTAATGAAATAATTTTCCCTCAAAGAAACTCTCGATCCTTGCCCGGAGCGTGGAGCCACAGTGGTGCGTGATGGGGCTGATTATTTGGGTTTGTTTACAGGGTCCTGCTCCTGTCGGCTCTGCCAGGACCAGCCTCGTGTTGGGCCTGCTGTCACACTCTGCCAGCCCCCATCAGACCAGTGAAAACAAGGCTAATCTCAACACAACCATCTCTGGAGAGGGGACTGGAAAAGGGGCAAAAAGATGACCTAAAATTGCATGTATGTACTGTATAAACCACAAAGAACAAGCGAGGGAGGGACAGTGGAGGGAGCTTCCAACCACTGCACAGTACGATCGTGCAACCGGCTCCAAATAAGCAATGTTAAAGAGTGGTCTACTTAATGTTATAAAGTAGATTGTGTCTTGCCTAAGCACTCATATAGTAAAAGCAGCTCCGTTGTGAGCTGTCTGCATCCATCCATTTTCTTCTATTTATCCGGGACAGTATCACGGGGGAAACAGTGTAAGCAGTGACTCCCAGACTTCCTTCACCCCAGACACTCCCTCCAGCTTCTCCGGTGAGACCCCAAGGCTTTCCCAGGCCAGCCGAGAGAAATAGTCACTCCAGCGTGTCCTGGGTCTTCCCTGGGGCCTCCTCCCAGTGGGACATGCCCAAAACACATTCCAAGGGAGGTGCCCAGGAGGCATCCAGAACAGATGCCTGAGCCACCTCAGCTGGCTCCTCTCGATGTGGAGGAGCAGCGGCTCTACTCCGAGCTCCTCCAGTGTGACTGAGCTCCTCACCCTATCTCTAAGGGAGCACACAGCCACTCTGCGGAGGAAAGTCATTTCAGCCGCATGTATTCATGATCTTGTCCTTTTGGTCATTACCCAAAGCTCATGACCATAGGTGAGGGTGTCTGCATCTAATTATAACATATTTTTATTATCCATGAACCAGGAGGTATGCTGTTAACATGCTAGTTACTGTTAGCATTACCATCACTGCAAAAGATTTTGCTCTGGCCTCTGAAAGTTGTGAAAAATGCGTATAAACTCATGGCTGTGAATAATTAGGAAGCTTAGAGTGTGTTAGAATATGAAGAATAAGTCTGGACTGTTCCAAACTATTTTTCATTCTCTCAGTTCCTCATCTGAATCACAAAAGCATTTATTGGAAAATCCTTCTTACAAGTATAAATGTTTAAACGTGAGAAATCAGTATTGTTCTAGAGGCAAATTATGGGTTTTATACAATGTACAAAGTTAATGTTCCTGTTAGACGCTTCTAAATAAAACATAGATAGAAAAAGTACAGTTAAAAAGCCAGAAAACATAAAACAGGGAACTCCCAGCTGCTTCAATAAGACTTTTAAAGTAAACTTTTACAGTCTTTTCTCTGCATTACTCGACTCTGATTTATACAGTGTCACCGTGACCAGTCATTCCTTTAGCCGACTGCACATAATCTCTCATTCAATTAGACAGTCTGCTGGAGCAGCTCTGGTCCGTCTGCTGTGGAGGAGCACATGAAAATCTATTTAAAGCCAATGTAGTGAACCAGACCAACGGAGACACATCCTTCAAACAGGCTTACATCTGTATTAATAGGAGCAGCTTTGGATGGTGCCCAGGATTGTAACCATATATTCAACAATGTTTAAAATATCAACTCTAGTGCGTCACTTCATTGGTACATTGTGATAAATAGACAAAAGATTTCCAACTAACATTTTTATTTATTTAGCTTTTTAAGGTCATGTTATTAGTATACATTTTAGAACTATTATTAGGGGATGTAACGATATCCAAATCTCTCGGTACGATATTATCACGATTTGCATCTCACGATACGATATTTATTGTGATATTTTGGAGAGTCTTATATAATTGTAGATAAGACGCTTTTTTTTAATGAAGATTTTGAGGCGAATTATTACTGCCATAATCTCAAGAATTCAAGTAAAAACATATTACTTCATGTTGTCTGCACTGAAATGAATCATGGGATATGTACTTCCTGATGTTTATTAGCTAATGATACTATAAAACTGTGTATTTAAGCAAAGGATTTTGTAATTGGATATACTGTGACAGCCCACGATATTATTGTGAGACTTTTGATGATACGGTATCACGATATTTCGGTTATTGTTATTTTTTTACACTTGTATGAATGCACAACCATCTCTCTACTTCTCCAAAAAAATGGGAAGATTCCAAATCAGCCCCAAATATTTTTAATGTTTATGATTTAATAAAAATTGATAATAAAATCATTTTGTTAACCTTGACATTTTTAAACTTCATAGAGTTGCAACACACCAGGGTGGCATCTAGTTGCAGCTTTCAAAGTATCAACTGAAGATATTTTGATGTAATTGCAATTGATGTCTCATATTTAACGTATTGAAAGAGTAATTTCATTTTAATTGACTTTTTAAACATGTTTATATGACAAACACAAGAACATCTGCCTACATGGACTGCTACTACAAAATTTACAACAATACTATTCTCTTGCATAGAGCTTTTTCATCAGATTATACTACAGTAATCGAAATTATTGCTTTATATTGATTAATTAAAACTACTGCAGTCCATCATTATAACCTGATGCGTATTTCCTGAGAAGCTGAGGAGTGAAGTGAAAAGCTAGCCGTACAATATAAGGCCCTGAGGTGCTCCTTACCTCTCCAGCTCCACAAAGAGGAGATTTTAAATTTTCAAACTTGACGGTGTGGATTCATGTTTAATTCATTAAGCTCAGTCCCTCAGAGCTGCTATGCCCTAACCACTACAGTCTCCCTGCATCTTTAAAACGCTGACTCACACTCTGTTGGAAAGCTTCAGATTAAGTTTTTCTCAATAAAGAAAATGAGTTGAAGTGGTTGAAAACAAAATATGCAATTTCAATTAATGGAGTTTTGGGGACAGTGAAGATTTAATATGCCCAAGAGAGAGGAGGTTATTTAATTTTGGAATAATTTTACAGCTGTCAGGTTGTCTCTCCAAGAACAATGTGCTCCTTCAAGTTCTTTATCATTCTGACAAGCCAATTACATCCGGATGCACAAGACTGTTCAGCAGGAATGGCAGAAACGCTGTCTGTTACGTCCACCTTTCTTTGCCCACCAAGTGCCACTTCAAAACTACAGTCCTTACTCAGGGAAACACTGGTGTCTAGCTAAAAGGCAAATATTGTCAGAAGTTTATCAGAACAGACCTAGATCTGAACTAAGATGACAGAGGTGAAGATTCAAAAAACATAAATATAAGACCTCAATCAACACTCAGCACCCTCACTGTTGGCGTCACTACTTCCTGTCCAATTTTAGCCTACGTTTATATGATGACGGTCTGAACAGAAGATGTAAAAGTGGCGTCGCGTCTTTACTTTTTTTATTCTGCGTTTAGACAAGTGTTTTCGGAAGGAAATCTGCGTGCTTACGGTGACGCAAAAGTGTGTGGAATTCGATTGTGTATGCATGCCAGGCAGCTAGGTGGTGATGTATGGGACGTCAACGCGTACGCGACGTGAAAAGATCTGACCAGAGTTTTGCGTCTTGGGAAGTGTAGACGGAAACGCTACGGCAGAGCGTATTCAACTTTTCCACTCTGGAGGGTGGTTTCAGATTTTTGCGTTTTTAAGCACCAAAAACGCCCTCACTGTCTAAACGAAAGGCACTTCTGTTTTCCACTTTCACTTTTTTTGTCATTTTTACCCGCAAGCGTTCTCGTGTAAACAGGTCCTCAGCTCTATTATTACTGAGTCATGCTAAAATCAATAAATTTTTAAGATAAGGCAGTGAACAGGGAGCTGTGGGTGGATGTCACACAAGGCATAATACATATTAAAACAAAGTAAAAAATTGACTACATATAAAAATAACTGGGTAGTCTTTATTTTAATTAACTTGAATTTTAATAGGTTCTTTATTTTATGTTTTATGATTTTAATAAAAGTGACAGTTTGCTCTGAGACACAGATTGCTGGTGTGCCGGTGTGCACAGAGCCCATTT